GCAGCCTCGCTGCCCGGCCAGCTCTTAAAGGGACCGCGCGCAGCGCCCAGGCCGGGCCGGGAGCCCGAGCGAGCGCCCCCCGGCGCAGGGGAGGCGCCGGCTGAGCCACGCACCTCGCTCTTCCCTTACCCCGAAGTAACTGGGCAGGGGGCAAAGGCCGGACCAGCTCCAGCCGGCCCGGGTGAGGCCCACCCGCGGGGAGCCTGACCCCTGAGCGCTGCCCCAGAGCAGGGGCCGCGCCCACCTGTGCCGCGCTGCTGCTCTGCTTTCTGCTCCCTGCCCCGGGGCAGAGCCAGAGGGAGGGCAGGGGCACAAATGCACCCCCGTTAGACACAAGGCTCCTGTGCTGCGCTCCAGCCCCATTCTCAAGTCCGCCAAGTAGGTGAACCCCCCCACGTCCTGCTCTGTGCCACAGCCCTGCTCGGGGCCTCTGGGCAGGCGTGCCGGGCTGGGCCGAGCACCCGGGTCACCACACCCGCCCCTGGCTCCAGCACACGGCTCCACTGCTGAAGGAGCTGCTCGCCCCTTTTGGGCCCATCTGCAGCCTGGGCCTGCGTTGGCAAGCCTCAAAGTCACTCGTGCCTCAGGCTCCTGCCTCCGCTTCGGTTTCTCCCACTTCTGATCTGGAACGGCCCTGGTTTCAGGTCTCAGCTCACGCCCCAGCCTGTGCCCCTCAGACCTCCCCTTCCAGGGCTCCTGGACCTTGTTCCCTGCACCCCACCTGGATGCAATGCTTGGATTATCTGTGCTCCCACCTTGCTGATACCCAGGTCACTCCTAGTGGTGTTGGGCAGGCCTGGCTGAACCCCACAGACCGTCTCTGCCCCTTCCCTGCTGTCCCAGGAGCCGTTCCTGCCACCTGCACAGGGGCTGGGCTCAGCTGGAGATGGAGCGAGGGATGGATGGGGGTCTTTTCCCACACCTGCTCAGGGCCTGGACAGGGCCACTGCCCACTTCCCAGCTGACCTCAGCTGCCTGCTCAGCTCAGTTGGCTTTAGAGCTTCCCCAACCCCAAGCAATGGAGAAAGCAGCAGCAGAGAACAGGAGGGTGAGGGACCTACCTCTGAGGAGGAAGAGGAAGGGAGGGGGATTTTCACCTGCTTTGGTGACTTCAAGTACCCAGAGGCTCCACAGCTCAGTCTGCCCACATGGGTAGGGTGGCAGAGCTGGAAACAGGGGGTGTAACCACCCCTGCAATGCAGGCTGCTGTTCCCACACCCCCTTTGGGAAATGCTGGATCTGACCCTGCTCATGCCCCAGGTTGGCCAGCTTCTAGATGCTTCGTAGTTGTTTGCTCAGCACCCAGTGAAGCCCTGACTGGCTCTGATGCAGAATGCTTGCAACTCATGCCGGGTCCAGGCATGGGAGGCCCTGGGGAAAAGGCCTGGGGTTTGTTTTTTTAAATAAGGCTCCAGGTGATGTGCCCTGGCTTGCCCCAAGACAGTCAGTGATGACAAGCTCGGGGCTGGACCTGAGTAACCATCCTTTGCTCAGCAGCAATGCGTGGAGATAAAGTGGTGCGTCACAAGGCTTTCCACCAGGCTTTGGCCAAGGAGTATGCATCATTGCAGATATAGCTACCCAGCCACTCCCTGGCACTGTGGTTAGCACTGCAGCTTCATACTGAAAGGGAGCCAACACTAGACAAGACTGCAAGAAACTCTGTAGAGACCAGCAAGGGCATCCTCTGGGCTCTCCTGGTGCAGGGGCCTCACTGGCTCAGCTGCCTCCCACGCCTGCTAAGGCTATTAAACAGGCTGGAGGACGTGGCTCAAAGTGTAACTGTGTCAGGGAGAAAACAGAGCGCCACAAACCTCAAATCCTGTGAACAGTTTTTAATCACATTCCATGAACCCTAGGAGTTGTGCAGGTACCTCCAGATGAAGGAGCAAATCCACATCGTCAGGTCGAGCAGCATGTTTACCAGGGAAATCAGTTGTAAGATTCCTCCTTTCCCAGACGGCAACAGATAAAACCACCCCAGAGGTCTGTGGGCTTGTTAATCTAACAGAGATGGGGGGGGG